TGTGGGGGGGGGAGGGGGGCTCATTGAACCTGGCCTTGGGGCAGCAGAGAGAGTAAATCCAGCCCTGCTTACTAGCACACACAAGTGTGACTGCATAGCACTCTGCTGGACAAAGGAGTCACTCTAAAACAGGAAGTCAGGAGCAGTGCTCAGGGGAGCAGCTGATAATACAGGAAATTAAATCTTCTAAACATCAAGAAGCAGCATTCATTGTAAGTGATTTCATCAGCATTTGAAAGAGCTTAAAATCATTTTGACTTTAATATCACTTTAAGGCCCACCGGCCATGATGCCAGATATGTGGTACACAGACGGGAAGAGGTTAACTGCAGCAGAGAAAATTCAGTGCTCCTGCCCTGACACACAGGGCTGTGCTTGGTGACAAAACTGTACAAAGGTCAGGACTGGATGTACAGAAATAGAAACCCTTGGCAGGTAAAACAGCTCCCTTTAATGCATTTCACTTGTGTATTCAGCTGTTTGCCTGGAGTTTAGCTTTAAATAGGTCCAGGTATTTGACCTGTATAGGCCATTTATTTATTTTGTAGAAAAGTCTCTACTCTTCCTAATAGGACTATGATGTTACATAATTCCAGAATGTAATAACATCAGTGCTTAGTGGATTTCTGCAAATGCAAATCATATTACCGTGTTAGCAATTGTTTTGATTTCTTAATACTAACTAGCACAATATTAAAGACAGGCCCTCTTTGACTCAGACTTTCCCCCTTAACTGTGTTTATTGGCCCAAAAACTTCTTCTCTTTGGCTATTGCCAGCAGGCGCTTGGAAAAAAAAAAAATCCTGACATTTCCTGTATTTAAGAACAACCTCATGTGAGGAATTCTTCTGGAGAAACAAAGAAAGTTCAGAAAAGACAAGAAAAAAAAAGCAGAGCATCAGAATTCGCTGTCTGGAGTCACAGACGCCTGACCAGACGTCCCGTTCTATTTGTCGTAGAGGAGAGATCTTTATTTTCTTTCTTTAAGATGTTACGGAGAAGTATCTTCTTAATGCTATTGTGTTTGAGCGAACTCCCCAGCTGCCGGGCTGGAGAAAAGGAGAGCGAGGATGGAATTGCTGATGAGGAGTCTGAAATGGAAAACCGTATTTCAGCTGAAGAACAAAGTACCGACCTGGAGAACCTGAGAAAGGTAAGATTATTTCCGCACAATTGCTCACTTGTAGAAGGACACTTCACCGCAGAAGACGCAAAATGGATCACATTAACCATGATATCGTCTCTGATGTTCTCTATGGGGCAACGCATTTTGAACCCAATTCAACATTGTGATAAAACTGGGTAATTTTTATCCCTTTGCACATGTATGAAAGGCGCGAACCTTACAAATGTGCCCTGGAAGTTAGCTAAGATTTGCTCTAATGTACCAATACAGGAACATTTCTAAACAGCCCTTAAAAGTGTATATGTTTGTTATGTGTCTCTACTCCCACAACAAACCTAAGCTGGGATGTAACTGGGAATATATTATAAACCTAAAGTTGGTGTTATCCCTGTTATGCTTAAGTGGAAATACACTTTTAAATAAAAGGCCAAGATTTGAAGATAACACTCAGAAACATATAGTGATTATTAAAAACTCAGAAAATAACATTTCAAATTAGGTTGATGGTAGGAGTGGCTGTGCGGAAATTATAGAAAAGGAAAACAAGCAGGGTTCACACTATCTGTAGTTTCTGGCAGTGCCATGTTTCGGTCCAGGAACTCAGTGGAGGGGATAAAGGAAATGTGTTGAAGGTAGAACTGATGCTGTATGATCTACCTGTACCGTCACTAGTACAGTACTATATGCCACGAGCTAAAATAGTACTTACCTATGATTGTCTACGTTGTGTAACCAGTTCTCTTCTGCACTTCAGAGAGTGCCATGATACAACATACCCGGGACATGCTACTATGCCGATACTAACTTCTTACTATGAAGCTGGTGTTTTGACCCTTCCAGTGGCGTAGCGAGGGGGTGCAATTGCCCTCAGTCCGAAGGGGCACCACTGGCCTCTTCAGATGCTGCTTGACTTCAGCAGAGCCCTATTAACTGTACTCAGGACCGAAACTAGGGGGGAGCAAAGGGGGCATGTGCTGCAGGGCGGGCGCCGCATTAGGAGGGGCACTGCCAGGCCCGACAGGGTGAGCAACCAGTGGCAGAATCCATTGGAGGATGGTAACTGCAAACAATTGTTTCTCCTGCAAGGAAATATTACTATTGTTACCCTATCAACGGTAAGTTACCGCTCCCTCCATCGCAGCTCTGCAGGGACTGCCAGGGCTGCATAGGGGGTCCTAGGGGTGGAAAAATGCACCTTAGTACACCAGAGCCAGAGGTGAGCAGGAGCTGTGTCATGCAGAGCAGCCGGGAAGTGAGAGGACACGGACTCCAGGGGCCAGGTAGTGGGAGCTGAGCTGTCACCAGTTTATGTTTATGTTTCCATCATTAAGAAGTGCTGGCTTCTTGTGTAAATCCAAGAACTCCTAAGACCCCGCACAGCCCTTCTGAGACTCTGCACAGCCCTCCTGAAGTCCTCTATAGCTGGTGGTATTCTGCATTGCTGTATAAGGTATTGCAGCATGGGAAGCCTCCATGGTGGATAAGTGTTTAGACACGCCTCTCTGCCCTCATCTTTTGGTGCGACAGCACTCTCTTGATCCACCACGGAAGGGAGGCTTGAAATCACTTAATTCAAGTCTCTCCTCCATGCTGGATTAGAAGGGGCAGCACCAGGAAATTAGAAGCGAGCCCAGAAGCGGCTCCTAAATTAACATAGCAGCACTGGAGAATGAGGCAATTTGAAGCCTCACTTCTGCAGTGGATCAGGAGGGGAAAACTTAGGCAGGGAACAATTGGTCCAGAGCATTGAACTATGGTTTGGTTTGTGGGGGGGGGCACTGATGAATGACTTGCCCCCATGCGCCTCATGACCTTGCTACGCCTCTGGACCCACTCTAGCCTTCCTCCTCTGCTTCAATGCTGTTCAGTGATGTTGTCTTTTACATCTAGTGGCCAACAGTAAGGCACGGAAAGAGCTACAGCAAAGCCCCAACTTCTTAGTCAGGGTTTTGCATTTACATAATAGAGGGTCTGGGATTCCAGGGCTAGTGGGGTATTCTGGTACAGGACATATTAACCATGCAGATAGCTCTAGGCATTTACTGTAATATCCAGATTTTATATTTCTCAGCACTTGTGAAGCCTTACCATAAACCATTATACATATTTACTGAGTAAATAATAAACTTTTTGGACAGAGTAGAAGACGTTAGCCTTCTATGTTTAGTGGCCTGCAAAGACTTCCCAGAAGATGAAATCAAAATCATTCATACAATCATTTCTGCACCTTTCAACACTAACATGCAGGGCCGGGTTTCCCACAAGGCCAACCGAGGCCCAGCCTTGGGGCGGCAGGGAGCAGAGGAGCGGCAGGGGTGTGAAATTCCTATATCCCGACGCCCGGGACATGCAGTTCCCGGCCTGTAGTTTTCTACATTTAGGCCTGCATTGGGCAAGCAGAGCTAAATGTACAGCTGGAAAGCCACTGCTCATTGTGTACAAGTGATCTCGGCGATGTCGCTAAAATCACTTGTATGCAGCCTGCAGGTCCGTCCTCCCCCTGCCTCACGGCCTTCCTATCTCAGCTGTCACAGGAGAGCCAGCACAGTGCTGTGCTACTCCTGTACTGGAGGTGACAGGTTCAATAAAGAGAACCTGTCACCTCCAAATGCTATCACGCAGGATAGCAATAAATGTAAGTGAAAAATAAATAAATAATAATATTTTTAAAAAATATGATAAAAAAGTAAAAGATAAATAAAAAATGTTAAGTAAAAAAATTTTTTTTAACTAACCCTGCCATCTGGTTGCCATTCTCCAATGGGGAGGGAAGGTTTTCAGGGAGGGGGGTGCATTGAAGAACCTGTCCTTGGGGCAGCAAAGAACTCTCTGTCCCTACTAACATTATTTCTCCAGTTCCTGCTAGGACATCTCGAAGTCACAGTTCCACCAGAGAAACCTTTGATGCCTCCTAAATCTGCAGCAAAGTTATCCTTTAATGTCACCTTGATATCAATTCCCAAAAAAGAGGTGAAGAAAGAGATGGATCTACAACTGGAAGATTCTAAGGAAGAGAAGGTGGAGGTGCAGAAGAATGAGATGGAGGAGACGGAAGAAGAACAGAAGGAGTTGAAAGATCTGACAGATGAAGAAGGGAAGGAAGATCTGACAGATGAAGAAGGGAAGGAAGATCTGAGAGAAGAAGAAGGGAAGGAAGATGAAGTGATATCTAAAGAAAGTACGGAAACAGAAGTAGCAAGGACAACACAGGCACCAACTACAGTACCGGCAGATGACAACTTGTCCTATATCTGTGAGTGTTCATCTTAGATGCTTCAATGTCTGATTATCAATTTCAAGGTTATTTTGCAGTTGCTTAATGTAGGCAATGTAAGGAAATACTCATTACTAGTTCATGTCCAGGTTGGTGAAGATTACTCCTCCTTGCCCGCCCCCTCCCTCCCCCCCCACATGCAATTTAAAAAAAAAAAAGTTGTATACAGTACATTCCCTTTTCCAGAGGTGGTCTATCCAGTTACATGGCACACCCCTCTTCTTCCTCCTTAGACATTGGATGGTCTTTACTGTTGCACAGTCGTGTTGGATGAGCGCCTTTCTATACAGCACTACTGAGAGCCCAGACTGGCATGATGCCAGAGGGGCATTCATGATGCAGTGGGTTGAATAATGATTTTAACCCAAAAGGGCATCAACAAGATAAGGACTGTGTAGGTACTACACCTCTGAGAAGGAAAGTATTGCAGCAAAAGATGATTTATTGTTCAAGTCCTGAGCAGTTTATTTTTTTTACTGTATAAAAAAAAAAAAAACATAGTTCTGATTTACCTTGGTACCTCAAGATCCAAAACTCTCATTACAGTAGTCCTTGGAATTCAGTAACAATTGGTAAATAAGTACCCAATATTATGATAAAAGAAATACAGAACAAAGATGAATAGTTGCATTCACATCACTGCCCCTACTATGAATCACAGGTGCCCACTATGCTTGAGACTCAAGAATGGAGAAAACACAAACACCTAGACAGTTATATATACACATAGAAACAAAATCAGCAGTTTCTTGTTACTTTCTTGGGGCAACAGATAGTGTCTAAACCATACTTTTTCTTTGCTCAATTTGGTCATAGCCATCCACTGTCTGTACAATATTGCAAGCACCTCCCAGGAGCTGAAAGCCTAGTGACCCGCCATTGCTCATTCAATGGTTGCTTTTGGTCACAGATTAAAGTGGATCTTTTAATTAAAAGTCACAAATTGGAAAGGCATTTTTCAACACCTACATTTAACATTTTTCAAATTGCAACATGATTTTGCTGTCTCCTCGCAGCTGATCTTTTACCAGGTACTGACCTATTATGCCTTGTTCTGCACTTTGTCTCTGTGTGGAGCTGGCCAGCTTGGTAGTGGCAGGCCTTTTCTTCCTCTGAGCCTCCAGCAAGGAGAACAGTGAGCGCACAGAAGTGACAAAGATAAAATATGCAAATAGTATATCCCTGCGTTCAGGTGTGCCATCTAGCCTACAGCAACTAATACATTTCATAAAGTTGTGCTAATATCCATCAGTGGTAGTTAAACATAGTGATCTGCTTTAATATGGGATACGAGTGACAGAATAACAGGCAAATCTTTATGCTGATAAATTGGAATATGAACGGCACTTTGCTGTTTGTTACAAACTCTTTTGACATCAAGTGACCCTATTACTTCACAATCCGCAAACATGTAAAAAAGAAACACTTACCTCTCCTGCCACCCACCAGCTGAATTCCTGTCTACTGCTAAAGAAGCATCCCACAAAGTCTGCTAGGAAGCCAACATTTCCGTGAGTGTCAATCTCCTGTGTCCTCTGTGGTGCTCAGTGGATTCTCCTGATGACCTCCATCTTACTACTGTTTATTGAGATGATGTGAGACACAGGAGATCAACACCCTAGAAAGTGTAAGTTTATCAGTGGACTTTGGGAGACGATTTTTCAGCAACAGAGAGGCATTTAACAGAACAGGAGAGGTATTCATTTTTTTTTCTTTATAGGTTTGTGGTTTGTTAATGTCATGGTGCAAGTGGATCATCCATGCCACTAGGTAAAAATGATGCCTTACCTAGAGATTCAGGTTCACAGCACCACTGGATGACCCCAGGACAATCCTGGTGACTGTTGAAGCAGGCTGGACTGATGTTAAGACTGATTAAGATGGACTGATGAAGTACAGAGCTAGCAAAAGTTCATCAAACTTCTGGCAAGGCAGAAGGATACAGGTGCAGGGAAGCATGACACTTGGTTGTCTACCAAGGCAGTGATTGGTCATACCAGACTGTGGTGCCAGTATCGGAAGACAATATGCGTGGTCAGATAAGCTGAAGGTAAGAAGGCAGGCAGCAGACAGAGCAAATCTAAACACAAACAGGGTCAGGTAGCCAGATAATCAGAAAAGCTCAGTTAAGGATACCAATGCTAGTCACGTGGTAATTATAATCATGCGATGAGCTGGGGGTCAATCTCAGATTAAGTAGAGACAGGTATGAAATGCCCATCTACTTCCTGCACCCTAGTGCATGCAATATGCAAAGTCTCCAGCAGATGGCAACATAACAGTGAAAAGGGCAACTAGCTGCACTAAGATGAGTTGCGCATAATCAGGTTCTACAGGGGAAGTAAGCCTCTTAAGTATTTTTTTTCTTTTCTGGTCTAATGTACAAATATGAACAGCATACGCAGTATAGTGTGCACAGAAAACAAAAAAAATCACTGGGGGAGAGTGGAAGAATTTTTTTTGCTACCTCCCAACAACTTTTTATTTTTTTCACTTTACTTCCACTTTAAAGAGGAACTACACTCATGCCCGTTCATTCCCAATATTGCACTTAGCTTTTATCCAGGAAAAACATCTTTATAAGCCCAGTGAATCCTGTGTTCTTTTCTCCCCGCTGAGTGAATCTTTTTCTCCCCACTGCTCCTGATAAATTGCAATATGAACAACACTTTGCTGTTTGTTACAAACTCTTTTGACATAGAGTAACCTTGTTACTTAGCAATCCACAAACCTATCAAAAAGAAACCGAATACTTACCTCTTCTGCCACACGCCAGCTGTATTCCTGTCTATTGCTAAAGAAGCCTCCCGCAAAGTCTGCTAGGAAGCCAGCATCCCAGTATAGTGATAAGATATTACACCAAGTTGATTTCTTTACGTAAATGTAAAAAAAAATGAACAAAAATATACAAATATATAAAGGTGGGTGCACTTCAGACTTTGGCGTGGTTGCAATGGTTAACATTTCACTGATTGACTGACGTTGCTACCTAACCCATAATGAGAGCTGGGCAGTGTGGAAGCATGGGGTCATTGCCATGGATACATGTGTACATTGTACATTCCTCCCTAGAAGATATAACAGTTGGTAGCTGTGCTCCAGCCTTCAGAAGGTAATCTTCTTAAAGTCACCCAGGATATGCCCCAGTGGCGTTTATACAAGGCTGGGAACATTCAGCGACTCACCTTCCTTACAAAACTCATCAGGACTCCAAGAGCACACCACAAACCACAGAGCCAACAGCCTAAACTCTGAGGTCATAGCATCTGCTAAGCCACGAGCAATGATAAAACTGCATTCTCAGTACATTTCTTCTTCTACAGCTAAGCTGGAAAAAGCAGGAGTTTGGTTTTTCAGCCCGGGCTGTGGAAATCGTTATTTTCTTTAGTCGTGCCATATGATCTGCTTACTTGAGAGAGGGAGCGTGAAGATTAACAGGCTCCAAAAAGACGCTCACGTATGTCAACTTGAGGAAGTATCACTGAAAATAAAATTTAACACATTGGATTTGAACTACAGGAAACAAATAACAATGGTTTGGCTATTAAGTAGTATAAATAGTAACACAGTATATTAATACAAGAAAAAATACTATTTAGACATTGAAACATGGAAGTGTGAGTAACAGTATATCTTAAAAGTCTTGGAACATTATCAAGTTAAAGCCAGTTTGGGATGAGTAAGGGAGGGCTATAACGCCTGTCAGCTTGTGTCCCCCGCCCCCGCTATCTGTGATTTCCCTTCACCTCCTGTCTGGCAGCCACCACAGGAAGTGAGGGAAATCTCAGCAGTGTCTCTAAAACTAGTGTCCCCATTGGAAGATTTCCCATTTATTTCTGCATTTCTCCTTTAAATATGATCGGACCCAGAGCATGTATAAAGATTTGCAGCAATATGTGTTTTATTTTAGCAAAATGATGCAGTTTTTCTCAGGCTAGCTCGCCTTTTAGCTTTTCCTTTTATTGTCCAATAGTATCTAGACTGAGCAGCATTGATTCCGCCATTCATCGTCTCAATGTCCAGTTCTACGGCCTGGACGTTAAAGTGTCGCAGATGTATCAGAGTCTCTCTAAGATGCGGAATAAGCTCAGTGAAGCAGAGGATGTCATCACCACTGTGTCAGAAATGAATCTCAGGAATCAGAGACAGATTGGACAGATTGAAGGTAGGAATGCCAAGCAGGAACATGTGTTGGGCTGTTGTTTATCAAGCTAATTTCTTGTTTTAATTATGATTTTCTTCGCTTTCCTGTGACAGACTCGCTTTTATATACTTCACAAAATATGATTATTCAGAAATGCATAACTAACAGCAACGGTGTAGCAAATGGGCTAGACAAAGTCTACTGAGCCCCTGACACTGGTCATTGACCCTGATTCAAGTGCTCTCATCTATTTACCATTCATTACAACAATGGCAGCATGTTCTTAGTTAGAAGAGAGTTGTGTGTGGGTGTCGTTTTTCAAAGCAATTAAATGATTTGTTACTCTTGAAAGGGATTTTATCATGAACCACAGAGGCGCTTGGACGTGTAGCAATTAAATAACATATCTGCATGCCAGTTGTATAAGTTATAGTTACAATGCAATACAAAATTTACCTTGGGCTATGACTGTATTTCGTATCAGACATGCTGTGTCAGTACCTAAGAACTGTTTAGAGCAGTGGTTCTCAACCTGTGTAACCTCAGGACCCATATTTGTCCTTGGTCATTATGTGGCGACCGAAACCGCACTGGAACTCGCGGCATTGCAACACTGCATGTTCCAGTGCAAGTGATCAAACTGTGGGAGGGAGGTGTGTTTGGGGTGCCATTCAAATGAATGGCAACGCAATGCACCTACCGCACCAGAAGGAACAGTAGGTGCAATTAAGTGGTAGTTTGTGATTAAAACGCTGACAGGTACACACAACCACAGACACATTCTCACACACTTACATATTCACACTCCCCAAATTTTTTTTAGGGGTTCAGTGTTGGCTGCTGTGGTGTGAGGGGCTCCATCCATATGTGCATTGCTTGTACAGCTTTCTTGCACTACCTGTACAGAATGTGACGTCACTCCAGTCATGCAAGGGAGCTGTAAGCAATGCACGTATTGATGGAGCTCCCTCCTGGCCAAGACCCCAGCCCGCCCCAGCTCAAGCTGACACTTGGCACTAAACAGCATATTTTGAATAGCTGCTTGGCACAGGAACTGACAGTGCTGCGCTATGGGGAAGGCTGAGGAACCTTTCACCTAGTGGACTGGAAGGCATGTGGCAACCCACTGAACATGGGGTCACGACCCACTTTTGGGTCACGACCCACCAGTTGAGAAACATAAAGGATGGATAAATAAAGCCCATTGGCAGCAAACTAAAACCCTCCTTCTGCTCTTTATTTACCAGTTTTGTCTTCTGGAAGCCTTATTTTTAATATACTTACATCTGTGTTTTAAACATTCTTGCCCTTTGCTTCTTGAGGTTCTAACCAGGTGTAGGTCATGAGCTTAGTGTTCTACTTATAGAGCTCAACCAGAAATGCAACTTAGGAAAGGAATCCTTTTGAGTAAGATACAGGCTTTACCAAAATCACAACCAGCTGGAGCCTACAGTTGCAGACACTTTTTTTCTCTATTGCAGGGACATATAGTGTACTCCCAGTATAGTGGTGTCTATTCAGGATCACTGGATTGGATTCACCATCAACTCTATTTTGCAGAAAGAATAGTGTCCTCTTGAGGCGTAAGCTTCACTAAAATTGCTCCTGGGGCCTACATTTGTAGACACTTTCCCTTATGACCACTGGCTCCACAGGGTAGCAAACAAGGAGCAAGCTGGTTCTGTAATCCGATTGTAGTGATGGCTGTATAAAAGGTGGCCATACATTGTACAACCATCGCAAGACCTTAGTCTTGCGATGGTTGTAAAGTGATTAAAAAAAACGTACGATCTGCCCATCTTGGACAGGCAGATCGTACTCTCGATCATCGCAAGCCCGCCCCCCTGAGGGGCGGGCTTCCGATGACCGCAATGCTGAACGGGCAGTGTGCGCGTGCGCACACCGGCCCGTTCGGCATTTGTCTCCCGAGCACCGTTCAAACCAGCCGAAAATCGTACGATTTTCGGCTGGTTTTCTAGTGTGCTCCTTAGACAAAAGACGTGCGACCGTACAATAGAAACGGTTGCATGTCTTCGTTCACACTGCTCGATTCTCGTACGATCGCGGGATTTCCCGCGATTCTCATACGAGAATCGAGCAGTGTATGGGCACCTTAATAGGGATGTTCAGATACCAGTTCAGATAGTTCTCATGAAAATGCGAAGTGTCAGGGTTGCAGCTGGGACCTAGCTCTGGCGCTCCACTGCTGTCCTGAAATCATTAATCTGTATTGTTTTAGAAAAATTGACACATGACAATAAACAAAAATGTATCAGTACTTGTATCTGTGAGTACTTGGACAAGTGTCAGTACTTGTACTTGCAAAAATGGTATCGGTGCATCCCTACTGTATAATGAGGGCCACAACGGGGAGCACTCAGAGAAGACCCCGGTGGAGAGCAGTTTGACAAACACAGGAGAGGCACAATCTGACACTGTTCTGGGTGCAGCAAAATTATATAATTAACTGCAGATCCCTGACACTGTGCAGATTCCTGCAAAGGTAATGATGTTGAGCATAAACTCTTCCAAATGGAGAAACATGGTTGCTTTTGTGTTTCTATTAATTTTCATTTTGGCACTCACTGACACCGCAACAATGCACACTTTTGTATTCTTCAACACAGACTTCCATATTCAGCCCGTTCAGCAAACGGACGCAATTTTGCTAGTGACTATATACAGTATTTGTATGACTACCATCCTGGCACACCTGATACTAATACCTATAATAATTGTCCTTCTAATGTGTCTTTGTAGGTTGTATGAAAGGCAAGAGGTACATACGTAAGTGCTACCTTATCTTCCAGCATTTTGAAGACTACGATACAGCGCAAAAGCTTTGCTACAGCCGAGGTGGAAACCTGGCAATGCCCATCGATCAGCAAGAATTTGCAGCTGTTGCACAATATGTTCATGATGCCTTCTACCCCTTTAACTGGCCTGTGTGGATTGGCATTAACGATCGACGCTCGGATGGGCTATACTTGTTTGAGAACGGGCATCGGGTTTCTTATTATAACTGGTACAAAGATCACTTAGTGACCCAGCCGAACGGTGGCATCCTGGAAAACTGTGTATCCATCTCCTCAGATGATGGAAAGTGGTGGGACAATGACTGCTCACGGAGGATGTACTATGTGTGTGAATACTAAGCTGCTGCGCTGAGAGTTAAAGGAGTTCTTCAGTTAAGGAACAGCCCACTAAAAACTGATATTTCAGCTTTAGGTAGGCACCAGTAAGGTAATTTAAAAAAATGCACATTTACTAGAAATTATACAATTGTACTTGTCCCAGCAGCCTCTAAAAATGCCACCACATTGGATGGCCATTTTTTAAGCGAAAACCTATTTCCAACAATACTGCCTGCACCTTCCTGGCTCTGACTGCATCAAGCAGTGCTTTGAGAAAATCGGCTGTAGGTAGAGGGACTGCACATTCAACGCAATGGAAAATAGGCTCTTGTCTCCAAACAGCACCATCTAATGATCAGGAACAGCTTACTAATAGTAAAGATGAATGCTATCATCCATCTTTGAGTGCATCAAGCAGTGCTTTGAGAAATCTGCTGCTGGTAGACAGGCTGCACATTCACCTCAATGCAGAGTAGGGCTCTGGTTTCCAAATGGAACCTTCTAGTGATGATCAGGAACAGCTAACTAATATTAAAGATGGATACAAACACAGGACCAGCTCATGCTGAAAGGAGAAGGATTTGCCTTCATATTGGCATAGACTGCAGGGACAAGTACAAATGCTTAATATTTAGTGAATATGCAGTTATTATTTACATCACAAAGTGGTTGCTTATATATTTTTAGGACTGCAATGATCAGATTTAAGTCAGTCCCCTCCCCTCATAAGGCCACCAAATGTCATGGAAATACCCACTTAAGGGGCGTACCATTTGAACCGAGGTTTTGGGCCTCTGTGTGCACATTCTCCCTGTGCTTGTTTGGGTTTCCTCCAGGTACCCTGGTTTCCTTCCACACTCCAAAGCTAGGATAATATGCTCCTGTCAAAACTGGCCCAAATATATATATGCAAGGGTAATAGGGACCTTAGATTGTAAGCTCCTTGAGGTCAGGGACTGATGTAAATGTAGAGTATGTATAGGGCTGTATAATTTGTTGGTACTATACAAATAGCTGTAATAAATAAAACATAGAAATAGACCACTGCCAATGTTGGTTATGCAGAAATGTATATATCTGTATAAAAGCATTTTGTACAGCAAGTTTATACAAAGCATTTGCAGAGCTTTCAGAAAGCTTTGTTTAAGCCTTTAAAGTGCATTAAGCTTTAGTTTGGGAATGTTAAACACAGATCTCAACACCTGCATCACCCCTTTGGGTCGGCCTTAACTCCGGCTGTACACAAATATGCATCGGCTAGCCCTCTGTTCTGTGCTGACTGACAGCTCACGGTCAGAGTTTATGATAGGGAGTGGCTCCTTGTCCTGTGATTACAGTGACAACCAATCACGGGATTGGGAAGCCTGCTTCTGAGTCCTGGCGGCCCTTTCAGGGGATCTTAAAGCTTATTTGCAAGCTATCGTTAAAAAAGTGCATGGGTATCTGGGCACTGCTATATGGAACATGTACCAATGAAAACAAAAACATTTTTAAAATACCATTTAGCAGAAAGATGGTCTTTTAATGTGGCGTAAAGGGAAGCATTTAAAATACACAAAACCTTCAAATAACATGCGCTAAAGTTGCACGTGAAGCTGGGGAGCAGTATGAAGTAGTCCTGATTGGCATCCAGATTCCAATAAGTATCCCTTGCAAACCCCTACAACACTTTTGAGGTGTGGAATGTGTGGATAAGGCCCTTGTCCCCATCAACATGAAGACAATGTGCCTTGGAAGTTGGGGGAGGCTTTTCTGAAACCCTGCCTTTCCTAAGTTGAAGGCATGTGGCCTGGTATGGTTCAGGAGAAAAGAGGGGTGTATATCTGTTGCCCTCCCTCTCCTTGCCACCCAGGTTACATGCCTGGATAAGAGTCTGGTTTGAACCCTAGTTGTATCCCCAGTTATTTTTGAGCATCTCATCCCCACATCCTGTCCCCCAAAAGGGATGTGGGGTTTTGCGGGGCGGACTTATCGGATCTAGAAACACCTTTAGAATAAGGGGCTGCTTAAAGATCTTGGCCCCCCTAGTGGAATGAGTATGGGATACACAGTTAAAAGCAAATAAAACGAAAGTCCTTTATTTGGAAACAGAAAACAATGTCACCCGATGTAAATCCAACATCAATCATGTTGTTCAGTGACGTAGATTTTTGTCAATCACAGCGAACTGCTGGCACTACAACCCGAAAAGAGGACGATGTTGACCAGTGGCACACCAGCTGCAAAATGACTGATCCCGTCACTGATGTCTGACCAAATATGGCCACTTTTTTCTTTGCAGACAGCTTTATTATTTAGCTAGAGTATGATACCCCAGTTGCACACTCCACTCCTCCTCCATGCGATTCACCGTAGCAGGGGCTTAATCAAAGATTTGGCTGGAGTGGGGCTTTGACCATGACTGTAATCACCTGATTCTTTTATCTAATGAAAATAGAAGGATATTTAAGTCATACTTTGGGTCCCCACCTCCTCCTAGCAAGCAATAACAAGGTGTCACACTCTCGCAGCCAGCTTCCCCAGTTATTTGTGTATTTCACAGGAGAAGTTGCCTGCGATAATTAAAAGGGAACTAGGGATTCCTATGTAGTTATTCTGCCACTAGTGTTCCCAGAAGCCATATCAACTTGCCAACAACTGGAAAACGGTGATATCAACCATGGGTCAACTGACCTTTAAAATGCTTTATTAAAGAGGTGCACATTAGTATGAGGTCATCACTGCTTACCAGGTGCCATTAAAAAGATAAGTAGGTACTATTTAAGCCATATAGTGGTTACATTTCCGCAGAGGAGATGATGTAAAAATCCAACCAACCTGCAAGAATGCGCAGTGGGGGCAGAGATTAAAACAGCGTGCTTTCTATGCTTAAAACAAAAATGCAGTTTAAACCCCCACTGTTCCAAAATTGAAGGCAGCTTCGTGCAGCGACAAAAGGCATATTAAACTCCAGGACAAGGACAAGCTTGAACAAAATTTTGTTACCCGCATATTTGTTTGGTCCTTCTGCGCTGCTTAGTGACTCTTCCTCGACTTCCAGCTGTTGTGCCTCTAACTGAAAGAGATTGCCTGAAAACATATGATTTATTCAGCTGTGCACAGTAAAAAGAAAAAAAGTAGCAAACTGCCTGTACCGTTTAACCACTTCATGACTGATTAGTTTATCTCCCTTCATGGCCATTTGTCTCGTTTTGAAGACACAAGTTTGACAAATCTTCTGCTTTCTAGTCTTCTGAATCGAACTCCATGCTCAGCCACATTCAAGCTTCTGACATCGGACAAAACCTTTATTTTGGAAAGAGAAGGGAAAGTTATGTGTCACTAGGCCCCGGTACCTATGAACCTAAGTCAACCATTTTGGGCCTTGGGTGTCAAGGATGCTACTGCAATATTGCCAATTTTTGGGCCCTGGTCCTTTAAAGGTTTGTGCTGGAAATAACGCCACCTCTTTTGTCATGTAACTTAGGCCTGGTGTACATTTTGGATACTGCCAGCAGTCAAGGAAAACCATCAAAAAAGATCTTGCTTGCCGGTTGCCTCCATTTTCCAGAAGGATGAAGACTACATGTTCCTGTGTGATACAAAGAGAGCATCACACTGCTGCCTGCCATAGTTTGTTGAGGCTTTACAGGCTGTAAAAGGTTGGGGATGCATGCGAAGTTAACAACTTGCTTCATTGACCTCAAACAACTATGCAGATAAGGACTTTCCAGATTTGCATACTTGTTTGGATTAAAAAGTCATGACATAAACGTTAGGTCATATTATTTCTCTCAAGACAAGTTTTCTTTAAACTTTTTCTAACAGTAATCATCCAGAAAGCTCTTACCTTGACTTTGACTCATACCCTAAGATGAACTTTTTATCTTCTACCCACTAAAACTTAACCACAACTCAAACCCTAACAACCTTTAATTATATAGATTATCCTCACTAAAAATTAACAGGCCATTCTGTCCCTGGATTGGCACTGAAAGTGTTTGCGCCTAATCAAAGTAACACAGATGTGACTCCAAAACCCATCAATTCATTTTTTTTATATTTCTCAGAACATACAGTAATTGAATGTTTGAAGCCATCAGATTTACTCAACTTCCAGGTCGCAGACCCAGGCTCACTTCACTTCCTATCAAATCAAAACTGAAAGGGTCTGTTCTTCCATATACAGTAATTAGGCGCTTAAAGAACAACTCTGACAAGCGGTTTTCATAAAATATACATTTTTATTCAGCTTCAATTTTAAGGTTTCACTATATGAGATGTTTGTAGGATGTATACCCTGAGGACACTTGTCATAGCTCTTTAATATTATATGGTCAAGTCAGCCATTTAAAAATGGGCACACATATCGTCAGTGGGATGCTAAAAGATTTAAAAAATGGGCTGGCCTCAAGAAAATGCAGCATAATCAAAATAAATTACTTGGATGAAAGAATGTTTTATATTCTTTTCTCTTTATATACTCTCTAAATATATGTGCTGCCTTATTCTATCTCCAGAGAACGTGTTGTCAAGAGGGCTAGAACCGACACATTTAAAGATAAAACTATGCACATGTCCTCCAACCAGTAGTTGCTTTCCAAGATCCACGTGACCACATACCTCTGGTCCCACAAGACTGTCTAAAACTAGGTGCTCAATAGGACTTTGTTCAGTTCCAATCTTAAAACAAATTAAAAGGAAACTGCAGAAATCAGTAGGAGGATCTTTTCAGGTATTAAGAAACAAAGTGACATGATTTTAGCCATTATATAAGGAGTGTAAAAAAGAGGGATAAAGACGGTATGTCCCTTTAACTTTCACAATTTTCTCAACTTGTTAAAAGATGACGTGGACTCTGAAAGCTGTGCCCAAAAAAAGCAAGACACAGGGCAAAGGACTAGTCACCATCGGTGCCTGTGGTCTTCCTGCAGCTGATCTTACTTACTGTGGTCTTCCTGCAGCTGATCTTGCCCCATTACTAAATTACTATGCCTTGTTCTGCACTGTGTCTCTTTGTGGAGGCAAATTGTAGAAATGTCACCAGCACACCAGTCCTTTTAGGATAGCAAAAGCTTCATTTATTGAAGTTCTTTGTCATATGGACAAACCCTTTT